GAAGAGAAAATCTGAATAATTTCCCCCTCTTTTCTCCCTCAGAATGAAAAGGGATGGAAACTGGAGTCAGCCCTCGCTTGCTTTCAAGGTCAGCATATCCCAAACAGTGGGTCGCGGGAGGCTTTAAGTTAGCAAATACTCTCCCATGGAAAATATATTATGATATACAGGAAAAGATTTCACCTTGAATGAACCGTTTTAGCCAACTTGCCAAGACCGGCAGGCGCACAGGTCTCACTAAATTGCAGTGGCTCAACAAGGAAGGGGCTGAGAAGGTTTGAAACCCTGTACGGAAAGCCCCCCTTTCCGAGGACGCATACTCATATTCCTGGAGAAGATGAGTGCCTCTCTTATGACGGCAGCGGAAGTATCTCCGTAGCCGATATACAGTAATTTCGCAGAGCAACCTCCCTTGTTCCTTCCCTATGGAACCTCCCCCCTTCGTACAGTACCACTTGCGCAGCTGCAGCAATCATTCATATGATTGCAGCGGGTGAAAGAACCCACCCAAGACTCAAGTCTGGTTGCGCCGCTGCTACATTGGAATCATAGAAACATAGTAGAAAACGCAGGTGAATGTTATATTTAACAATTACTCTGAAAAGCCATCGTTTTAAATGGCGATGGGTCGTAAATTTCTTTTAGTTTTTTTTTTTAAGGTGGCCAGCGGGTCACGATTAAGAAAAAGTTTAGTTGAACCAAATCTAGGTCATAGGCTAGTGTCCATCGCAACAAATGCTGAAGTTCTCGCCGTTTCCGGTTTAGAATATATGTCGGATGATTGGTCGTGAGATAAAAGAAAAAAATCCTGAAGGATTCATAGAAGCATCCCTGACCTTCTTTGTAAAGTTTGTGCACATGTGAAGTTCAGAATTGCTGAAAGGCCGTTTTCAAGGATAGGTTCGCCAGCAAATGCTGTACGAGCAATGCTGCCCAGTATTGCCACGTCATACAACCGCGACGTCCTACAAAGGAGGGGAATGAGGACGCAGGGGTGCATAGAGGCCAAGAGGGACTACTTTGCGGGACGCAATCACAAGTTTGTCGCAGTTATCTGCTTTCTTCAAAGAAAGCCTCGGTTCAAGAACTTTTTGATCGCTCCACGTAAGTCTTAGGCCTAATAGAATGCTTGTAAAAACAGCTTGAGCGGATGGCACAACGGTTCCAAGACGTCTCTCACTCAATCAGCTGTCTAATCATCTTCCTTTGGACTGGGCTCCCTTCCAGATTGAGTCGTTCGGTTAACAGACGGGCGAAGTGGTTTCATACTTTCCCAAGGCCATTCGTCAATTTCAAACGACATGTCATTGATAATACTTCTGCTGGGGCACTGTCGCAATAAGGATGTGTTTGTTTTTAATCTGTAAGTTATCTATTTTAAGTTATTAAGTTATTTTAAGTAAGTTATTTTAATCTGTGTTATCTGTTAGTAATTGATTTTTAAGCCCCAAGTTAGTTCAAAATCCCAGCACCCTAAGGTACGGCATTTTCCCGCCGCTTCAGGCGAAGTTGCGCACTATTTCCATAAAAACATTACATCAATATTATTGTAATGCAAAGATAGAATAAACACAAAATCAAAGGCAAAGATTGTTCTGATATGTTGGCATTGAATTGTATCTCAAAATTGACCGCAATCAAAGGGCCAATAATTAATTTTACTGTAAATTTCTGTAAGTATCCCATTCCAGATTCGAATGCGCTTCGAACGTGCGACGGTATCGGTAACGGTAACGGTAAGTCTATACACCTGCCAGGTGTATAGACTTACCGTTAGATGGGGCTAAGAGATATCATTTTTGACATGGTGGACAACATCACATTCCTGTGTCTACCGCATAGTTTGTATTTCCCCTTTGCGTTTGGATACATCCTCGTAGTTACACGCGTATATGGTTTTGTGTTGGAACGAGCTCGAGCGTCGTGGTAATACGGTGATTAAGTACGAAATAAAAGCTTTCACCAAGATTCGACAGGTCTTTTTCTTCGATTCAATGAAGCACCGCTGCCACCACAATCACACGTCGCTATGGCTTTTTAAACAGTGTTTTTACTCCGATATCGCGATAATAGTCCAGGGGCGGTATTCTATTAAAATCTTAAACTTAGTTTAAGCAAATTGCTCAACCTTGGCCATGCATTTGAATGGGGAAAATTCCAGCTAAGCACCTTGCTAAGAGGTAAATCGCACTTTAGAACATAATAGAATACGGCTCCAGGTCTATATCCACCTCTGACATGAGAGGTGCTTTGAGACCCATTAGAGACTTCCGTGGGGACACACTAGAGAGGAATAGCACGATGTCGTACTGACATGACAATATAGGTTCAGTAAAGGAATTAATTCGCTACACCTTAAAGATGTCAGGACGTTTGTTTAGTTCGCTCCACGGACCTAATTTTCATCATTGACTGAAATCCCAACATCCACGGCAATTCCTGTTGATGCCGCCCTCAAAAACGAGACCATCATCGAAAAGTAAAATTGCTCTCAAGCGGAAGCTTGAAGCTCGCAAGGAAGACTTGTCACCTCGACCGGGAAAGGTCGACACCGCCAACAATGGTTAGATTCGCTTCTACGTTAATATGAACTGATGGGATAAACCTCGGAAGACTTTGAGCTTCTTAATTTGTCATGTGCGGACTGTTTGTAGGAAGATCGTTAGAGGAAAAGCCAAACCCCCATGGACGAGCTCAAACGGTCCCGTGCACCCATCATTTTCACAAGCCGGCTGTCCTAGCTCGATCTCAAAAGATTCCTTACTGCGTGAGATTGGAAGCAAGCAACTGTGCAAAATGCAGGAGAAGGATCGAGCCAGACTCGGAACATTTCGTTTTACGAGTCAAGAACGTCCAACATCGGACACACGAGGATGTCGGACTCTCGATATCGTCCAGCTTGACGGAAATCCCTGAGAGGGCTCGCATGAACGTCTCCTGTGACCCTCGTTCTTCATCAGTTCGGTCCTTTCGTGTCAGCGACAGCGAACCATCCATCATGCAGCAGCGACTGCGCAAACAGGCGAAGATGGGAGAAGGAAGGGCTGGGAATGAGGAGTCCCAAATGACTCTTCAATATCGGCCTCATGAGAAACTCCTGACATCGAGAGAACTCGACACCTTGCTGTCATTGGCTTTTGGAATCCTAAGGGAACGCGGAGGATGCTGCCGTCATGTCCCCAAGGCTGCCCGGGACTGGGACAAGGCCTATCTCCAGACGTGTGACCGACGTCGACTTCGCCATCATACGAACACAGCCGTGAGATATCGAGCCGGAGAAAACAAATCCCGTAGAGAAACGGGAACGCTAATCGGGAACAAAGGTTCATCGATCACAAACACCTCTTCTTACAGCACGAGGTCAAGGCAAGCCCAGGAAAATAAGAATTCTAGTACTACTGCAGTATCAACTCACAGGCACCAGATCAGGTCCAATGCTGTTCTCAGGCCAAAAGTACTTCCCATCCAATTGTATGTAGTTGATCGACGGGTGACTCGGTCTCTAACCCGAAAGACGGAAAGGGAAACACAAAAGGAAGACTCGGAAATGCGCTCGAAAGGGGCAAAACGTACCACGACTTCGCACTTGGCAGGGGAGGGAGGCGCTTCGAAACTCCAGACTAGAAACGTTGCGAATCACAGCATTGTTGCATGCAATGCCTCGAGTACGACATCAACAACGGCTCAACGATCCCGGGCAGCAGCGATTCGCATTGCGACTGAAGCGAGTCGCACGAAAATTCCGGTGTCTTCCGCCAAAGCAATAAAGGGTTACAGCCCGGTTACATCACTGAGATACACCGCAGTGACTAAAAGTTACAGTCCAACCACTGAGGATTGCAGCTTGGATACAGAACGTCGAGATCCAAGCCTCAACAGAGCCTCTCAGGCAGGAAAGAGGAAAATAATGCTGAGAATGAGCGACGGCGAATCAGGAGGTTCAGGAAAGAGAGCTCCTGTAGGGGTCCGTATACATGCCGGGGGGAGATCCCAGAGCGAAAGAAAACGAAGAGAATTCAGAATAGGGGCACCATATTCATATTCATGCCCCTGCGAATACTTTTCCCCGATAATAGAGACGCTTTCGTCCCCAGTCCGAATAGGGCAGAGCATGGGATCCGAGTCATTTCAGGAACTTCCTGCGGAGCCTCCCCAGGTCATGGGGGATTCCGATTCAACATTCCCCCTCAGGGTCATCCTGCTCTCTTTCCTGAACAGCCCCTCCAATGAGCGTCAGGGAGGAGACGTCCAGAATTTCCATTCCTCCGAGGAGAAGAGAGAGGAGAAGGAAGTAGGGAGTTCGAGCACGAAGGGCGAGGAGCCTCAGGAAGAAAATACTCCCACGGGTAATGGAATAGGAATAGAAGAAAATTCTGCCTCTGCCGTACGGCCGAAAACGCGCGACGAGTCCGAGCAAGATCCTGAACCCGACGTAGACAACGACAAAGATGACGCATACTAGGGCAGATAAAGCCATTTTCTTCCCATCTCGTACCGAAGCATCGACAGTACGAGCTTGATCTCTCTCGCAATAATCCACTAATACGCACTTTCTGCCCCATCTCACATAAAACTGTCTCGGTCTCACAGCGTATTCCCTCATGTTGCAAACTGCTCTGATGTGAGCAGCGCTCATCCTTCCAAGTGGTTCTCAAAACATACAACAGATCATGCATGAGTAACTCAATTAACACTTGAAGGCAATCAGGTTAACAGAAATGAAGATAATACATTATAATGCGAGAAATAACGACAGTACCATGCTGAAAGCATTGGGGATTTTGAGGATGGGCAAATCTCTATGAGCAGAAAACGAAAGGTAAATGAGGCGGTAGACACGACAATGGTCAAGCCGATACATAGGGATTCTCATTGTGCTACGAGAAGTCAGCAGCAACCAAGGGTCGGAGTCAATGCCATATCCCTCGTTGACAAAATGATATGCAGAGTGGAAATGAAATGTCTCGGACAACAAAGAAATGGCTGAGAAGTAAATGGTCATAAGAATCTCTTTATTGCACTTGGAAATCTCTGAATGATGCAACCATCATCGGAGTGTTATCACAGAGAAAGTCTGTCATATCTGCGTCCATGTCCACCCTTGGCAAAGGGGATGGAATTCAGGGACGTCATCCATATTGCACACTCGTTCGTGTAATCAATCGTCAAGGAATCAAGTAGAGATCAAGGATATGGCTCCTCTCAACAGGCAAAAACGGCAAGAAATAAGTTCCCTCCTTCCTTCTCCTTTAACTGACATATTGCTTTGCTTCTTTGAACCATGCTTGTCATTATCTTAAGGCCGTTGAGCAGGTCCAAGACTGTCAAAGCATTTCGAAAGAAGGGCAAAGGGCGGGAGAGAAAAAAAGTAATGGCAGAGACACAGGGAGAGAGAGGGGGGGAATGAGGGAAAGAGAGAGGAGAGACTAGGCTCCATCACAGACGGACCTTCACAGTTCAAATTATTCATCAAGGGAAGAAACAAAGAGGTAAGGGACTCAGATGCGAGAGCCCATTCCCCCACCAGGCGGTGGAGTAGGGTCCTTGATCACCGGGGTACCTCGGATTGCCTGTTCCTGGATCTCCTCTTCCAACATCCCCCGCACTTCCCTCTCTCTCCTGGCTCTCCTCACTGGTTCTCCGGGAGAAAATTCAGTCAGCTTTTCCTCGATCCGAGATATCCTCTGATGGAGTTTCTGCACCTCCAGCTTCATGTCCACTTTGAAGTCCATGAGAGCGGCAAGGATCTGCTGAGCCTCGGGTACACCCAAATGCGGTGCAGGTGCAGGAGGGTGTACCTCACTTATCTCTTCTACCTTTTCCTTTTCTTCCTCCCTGTCTTTGAGTTCCTCTCCGCCGCTGCCACTTCCACCACCACTTCCACTACCACCTCCACTTCCACTTCCACCACCACCACCACCTCCACCTTTGAGCAGAGCTCCCCACCTCCCCTTGGGACCGGGAAGTCTTTTATTGACGAGGACCGTGGCGGGTGCGACCTGGTGTAGAGGCTGAGGAGGTGGACTCAAACGTTCCTCACTCGCTTCCCTTACAGTGGGTGGGAGCTTGACCTTGTGATCCGCTGTTCCTGCTACTGCTCCTGATCCCCCTTCCCCTTTCTCTGCATCGGATCCTCGGTCGCTTCCCGGGGTTCCAGGCCCGGAACCCGTTCCCGCTTTCCGGAATCGAGAGAACAATTTTCGGACAAGGTGTTCTTGAGACAGTTCCTCAACGGGGTGATGCTTCTGCCTCTCCGCCAATTCCCTTTCCCGTTTCACGTCTGCCACCTTTCGGAATATCAACTGCAGCAAGAATGGAAAAAAAGGACAAAAAAAAAGACGAATAAGTTATGAAGATAAAGGTTCTCCTGGGGACACATGGAGATATCGGCTCACTCTATGCCGGAGATTGTAAGTGAGGAAGAGGTTGCGTGCGAAGGAATTGGCGAATGCATGATAGAACTCCAAGACTTCAAGGAGTCGATCTCGCTTGATGCTATGGATATCGCAGTAAGTCAAGGCTCGGACATTACATGCCGACTGACCGATGTTTATATCTTTCCAGAACGTATCCCCAAAAACGTCTCCTTTCCCTGCAGAAAAAAAAAAATCAGAATAAGGAAATGACTCGAGACTCCATCAAGACCAGCTTTACAAGGACCCGCTTCACGATCAAAGTGAAAGAAATATGAGAGAGGTTTGTAGAAAGGAGCCATCCGCCAGGAAGAAATTGGCCATTAAAATATTCATTTATCCATCAAGGTTCTTTGATCTACCGTAGGGCGCAAAATTCTTTGCGCCGGGTTGGGGCAATCGAGATGGAAAATGAGGGTCCAACCTAATATGGCGACGACCTCATCGTCCTGGATGATCTCGAGAGAACCGGAAACGACGAAGCAAAGGGTGTCGATGGATTCCCCAACGTGGAAAAGGAGATCCCCAGGAGCCGAATGGGACATTTGGAAATGGACGGCCAGAGCCCTTAAGCACCCATCACTCGCCAATCGGAATGCCGGATGTTCGTTGAAAACTTTCCGGTTTAGGTGGACGCAGATGTCTGCCCTCATGTCCTTCGGGCAGTAATTGAGCACCTGCAACACGGAAATTCGGCAAGGATGAAAATCATTCCCGAACGGAATACTTTTTCACGGTAAACAAATGAATTATGAATGAGAGAGAGAGAGAGAGAGAGAGAGAGAGACCTTTTGAGTATCGATCCCCTTGGACATGGCCCAGGTGGAGACGACGTAGTCCATCACCCGTTCACTCAACGCCTTCGGCACTTCGTGGAGTTTCATGAATTCTCGGACGTTGTTTAGCATGTCGTGATACACCGCAGTGGCCGAAGTCATCTGCTGAATGATCGTCGTCACGTGACCGAAGATTGTCGCCGACAGCAGTGCTATATGTGGCATCGAACGATTATTTTTAAAAATCAATTCCAAATGTGACACCTCTCCAAGATGAATATTCAGACAGGAGCCATCAATCACGGGAGGAGGGAAAAGAGGAAGACAAATGAAGCGTGGGTGAAATATCTAATTAGGAATCCTGAGAAGGGGAATTGGAGGTGGGAGGACTCAAAAAACCAATTAAGGGGAACCAGTTTACACTTCTAGGACTCATAAATCTGAACCTTGTCATAATAGGGATTGACCTTCGCGAATCGGGTTCAACATCCCCATTCAACGGAACTTTCCAAGATTTTACGGAGAACGACAATTTCCACCTATTCCACTCGTAAGATGATGGACGAAATAAATTTCTTCGTAGAACAACCACGCGGCAGGCCTGGGCAAAAAAAAATTCGAATGGTCGATACTCGACAACTCCTTACGGTATTTTGTTTCAGCTGAAATCAAAACTGAACGTGACTGAAACCCTGAGTACTGAAAGTGACAGAACAATGAAGAAATTCAAAGCCATTTGCTAAGCACCTTCCTCGGATGATTATGAAAGATTGCATTCAAAATAGACAACATTCACACAGTTTTGCTTCCTAACATCAGTACGATGGTAGTGAAGTGGAATTTTGGAATTGGACCCAGTATGAGAAGAAATGAAAATCTCAAAGTACTGTCTTCCATCCAACCTATACGGGCGAACGTCGGCCTCAAATAAATTGGGCATGGGGATATCAATGTAGGTTGAAATGCTTCCTCACGTCCCTCGCCAAACCATGAAGCTTAGAACCTGAAAATTTGAATTGCCGTCTCGATGTGTCCGTGTGCTAATTGATATAATATATTTGAATTGCCTTTAAAATTTGGCGAATAATAGAAGCTCGATCAGGTGGTCACACGGTTGTTTAGAGGATACTCACACACTTCAATTCATCTAACAATTTGAATTCGCGATCATGACACACGTCTAGCGAAACGTCATCAAAGTCACTCGAATTGTCTTCCTTGGTCCACGGTCCAAGCAAAAAAAATCAAGAGTGCCATACCCTTGATTTTTTTTGGACCAAGTTATATTCGAAGTTTACATGTACTTCACTATACAAGAGAGGCACATATACAGTTTTCTCTGCCTGAGTGCTTGGATTATCTGCATTGTTAATTCAATTAAGATGTGCGCGTAGGCTCTGAAAGACGACGTGACCATTGAAATTCTATCGCTAACTCAGCTTAAACGGCAATTATAAATTAGCATAAACTAATGAGTATGCAGCAAAAGCCTTTCCAAACAATATTGCACTAATTTAATTTCCTGCATGCTCAGAAGACTCCCAAATTTCCAGTCATTACGAAACTTGAATATGGAAGATTTTCCCTCTTGTTGCATGGATAATCCTTTTGATTTTACTTTCAGGAGAATGCGTCTTCTACCATATCTCTTTTCCTACAAACAGCAGTCGCCACATTCTTGTGTGGGCACGACTCCCTCACTTTTCTCAGGTCAGGAATGAAAATTCATGCCTTAAATTGGGATACATGGCCAAAAAAGTATTTTTCCTTGAAGACACGTACCTCTGGTTTATGTAGTGAAAAAGTAAGAAGGTTCCTGGCCTCTAGACGTGACGATAGGTCAAGTCACATTTCTAAACATCGGGTAACACAGAGACAATACTCCAGCAGTTACAAAGGATTACTATCATCTGAAGATAAATAGTAGTGGAAAAGAAACTAGGAATGAAACTGGAAGAAATGGATCAATTTTGATAAAGACGCCTCAAGGCCTCATTATTCATTCATTCCATCATGATTTTGAAGTTCGCTTATGCCTAACTTCAACTTGATTGAAACTTTTCATCAAGTATCTAATTTGGAATTCCCCTCCTGCAAGATGAATGAGATCAAGGCCTCAAAGAACATTGTCCTCTACTCTCTCTCCTCTTCACTTCTTTATTGTTGGATGGGGAAGACGTAAACAGGACGTCTATTTCAGAGACGTTACAGGAAAGAGAGAAGAAAAAGAAAATGAGAGAAGAACCAGTAGTGGAACGATGGAATGAAGGGAGGGGAAGAGGAGTTAAGGTGTAGGAGCGGGAGCTTGGAAGGAGGGCTCAGTCAACTTCTGGCCATCAGTGTCAAAGCATTGTCCTTATCATCTCTTCACTCCGAGCCAATCATGATCCCTCATCTCTCCGTTTCCTCTTTTATTTTCGTCATCGTGAGTCTGTTCCTTCCTAAGATAATCGAATATAGAGCGCATCGTTCGTTTGGGGTCGTTAAGAATTTTTTTAAAAGGAACTCTGCCATTATGGAATGGCCGGGAATGCAAATAATTATCTTTCATAGAACTCGAGAGATAATACAACGACTTATTTCAGCAATAAATTCGTACTAAATATACTTTCAGGTAAATGTAAAAATGTAAAACAACCCTGCACTCATATCGTCACATTAGTGATTGGAATCGCATACATATTGTTCGATTCTTCAAATATAGTCACCAAAGCTTTTGTGTTGCTCATGAAGCTGCCGCTGAAGTTACCAATCGAACAAAGCTTATTCAAGATGTGGGATTTTGAGATGTTCGTCATGTCCCATCAGCCACTGCTCGAACAATAGTATCATTTTCAAAAACTTGCCGCTGTAGGAAATCACGCACGTCCTTCCAAGATGTTCCCACACACAAGCTGAATGGAGAGCACCTTGCGGAGGGTAAAACCTGATTTCTGTAGATGCAAGAAGGTTTAAGAAATTATTAATACGCAGAAATTTTAGTGTCTGGAATTCTCTCTCACTCGCTCTATCCCACAATGGAGATGAATTGGTTAAAGATTGGAGATTATTGTCTCATCATTCTGTACTTCGGCCACATCTCTTGTGCCTGAGCCAAATGGACAAAATCATAAAAATTATTAGCGTTCTTTTGAATTGATTTATTCGTGCCCTTCGTGTTCCAATAAAAAATATAGAAATGTAAAGCCTCACTTTGTCTTCCCTTATGGAAAAATCGTATAGGATTCCTATAAGAATCCTCTAAGATTTTATATGTTTAAAAAATCTTTTCGTAAAGGTTGTTTCCGTCAAATTTCGCATCACTCAGTCTAAACCGTACAAGTCACAACATTCCATTTGTCAGAACCCTCCAAGGACAGAGGTGCTCTTTCAATTTATGTGGTAAAGAGTTTAGTCAAGTTTGGCTAAGTTTAGCAATCAACACGGTAAAGGACGTCAATGCTGGAAAAAGTGCCTAGTTCATTTTCCTTACGCTATGCACACAACACATACACACTAGAGAAGAAATAGAGAGAAAGAGTGGATCGATGAAGACGAGTTCCATGGCAACAAGGGAAAGAGGGCTGTGGGAGCTTTTAAACCTTCTCATGTCGGGATAATTGAGGAGGACCTTACTCCCAACACGATTATCCTTTCTCTGAAAGTTCTACCCCAGAGCATGGTGAAACGAGAGAATCAAGTTCATCGTGATCTCTCTGTGAGCACATGTTTAGGAACCATCTGACTTTTCGTGTCCATTGGATGGCGTTTCTCGAGCCGATTAGCAACGAAACGGAAACCATCGGGACCAGGTTTATTGATGCGGGCAGAGGAGATAGCCCTGTAAAAAGATCGGCGTCTACAGGCTTCTTATCAGATGACATAAAAAGAGACTACTATGAACGAGACCTCCTTGCATCAAACGGTCATTCGCATTTCAAAATCACCAATTAAAAAGATTGACTGACTTCATGTCCTGCCCTTTATTAAAGTATTTATGAGGAAGAGGTGCCGATGAACTGCCGCGCCTACCTTGTGGGCTGACGTGGCCACGAGCCAAACGAAAGGATTGACACGTGTCTTCGTATCAGCTGTCAAAGTTACCTAAGAAGAGGATCATTCATGTCACAATGATTTCCCAAATAGAGGGGAACTTTAAAGCTATGAAAAGGTGGTATTTAGTCTGTCCTTTAAATAACCTTATCTTTTACTTTTAAATGAGGCTTAATAACTCTGCGAACGAGCAGCCTGATGGCGTCCGTTGATGCTTGGCTGAAGTTCTTGATGATTTATTCGAGAATGCACATCATTTGCACAGGGTTTTCTGGATCTCCACTTGGTTTTGAGTTTCCCGATCAGAGGAAGAGAGAGAATCGAAATACCCATGTTCCGGACTGCCTTCATGTACCCGCACAACTTCCAGTGAGTTTCGTATTCCATTCTCGCGAAAAGTCATGCCACGCCCTGGTACTTTCTAAAGACACTTCCTAAAATGGAGAACATTTAGCAAAGCTCGCTCTATCGCGTATGAACTTCTTTGACTCTAGTTGTGAGGTTATATCCATAACTTGTCAATAGAGGGGTTTTCAATTAATAAATTCCTTGCTTTGCGTGAAAAAATAAAATGAAATTAGAGGTCAAAGGGAAGGGGAGGGGGAGTCTGCGTGAGGCTTCAGAATCGCGAAGGAGCCTCACCTTTATTCTTAGCTCGCCTTCTCTACTATACGTGTCTTTGGCACATTCTCTCCCCTCCTCTTCCATGAGGGATGGATAGTCTAATACACAGATGGCATGAGCAAAACTAAATTACTCGGCTACTCATGCATGCAGAAACATGACCTAGTTGTCAGAATCATCCGTGCCTTCACGTTCGTTGGAAGAGAGATTCGGACGCAAGGCTCAAGTGGGTGACATATGAGAAACGGGAAAAGCCTCTTTCCACACTGCTAAGCATATCGCTCATGGTATTACAAACTCCCCACTTCCCCTGCGTCTCAAACGCGTTTTAAAGGAGAATCACCCTTTTAGGTCCATATTTCAATTTCCTTGAATTATTAGACGCTCAACTTTTCTTGAGGATTTTACAGGTGCAATAAAATAATTGGGATATTCAGGTTTGTTTGGTCAGTACAAGTACTTCAAGTACAGATGTGAAGGTACATAAAAAATTGTACATTTGCTTTCAGGCAAAGAGAAATATATTAACTGCAGCACGAAATCACTGTTAGAGATTTTGGAAAGAGGGAATGAGCAATACCAAAACCGTTGTGACGCCGTTTTTATGTCATACATGGGAACTTACATTAGGGCACTGGAAATAATTCATGATTTATCAAGCTTGAATTTAGTTCTTTGTGCATTACAATTCAATCAATTCTCGACATAAATTAACTTGTGAGTCTTCTTTTTGCGAGCAATCGAGCAATGCAATAAAAAGGGGGAAATCCAGAGGCATTAGACGCGTCTCGAAGTATTGGCATCCGGAACAACTTCAGTCATTCGAGGTCAAGTATTGTTTTCACAAGTTTAGTCTATCAGGGACATTAGCTTTTCCTATTTTGCGACTCCGGAACGAAAACTTATAATAGAAATCGAATATATTTTGTTTCTGTCATGTTCAGGCAGTGTTTGACAGTTCTGTGTTCCTTGGAGAAACGGAAGGAGCATGAATAGGTTTGGTAGCTTTGAAGCTATCTTGAATTCCAGACTAGATTGTGCTGATAATCTCAGATTTCGTAAGATATCATAGGACTCAGGCGATGTGAAAAATCACGCAGGCTTCCTCTCTAAAACTTCACAGCAGAAGCGAAAGAAATGTTATAGAATCACTCATAGAAGTCGAATGTGATCATGAAGGTATTCGGAGCAGTGTAGCTCGCAAACCACGGGAGGTAGAGACGAAATTCACGAGAGAGACAATACGAAGTACGTGTTGAGGAGCAAGAAAGAACAGACACCACTTCATTGATTCTTCAAAATGACCTCCATGCTGATCCATACGTGAAATGAAGTTAGAAGCAGCGGCGTACATTATACCTCTAGGAATTGCGTGCACTTCCCGTCCTATCACAGCACATCGAGATAACCCGATCCCAACTCTTATGATTATTGGGTATGGGGCTTGAAGATGGGTGTGAACTGCGATAGCTCGACGGCGCCTGCAGATCATAAGGTTGCGATACAGTATGAAGTGCACGCAATTCCTAGAGAGATGTTGTACATTGACGTATCCAACATCATTCCACGCATGATTGCGATCATCGATCAGCATGGAGGCCATATTGAACAATCGATGTAGTGAAACCTATAGGACTATTTTTGTTGTATTTCTTCAACTCAAAATGTTCCCCATCGTGTATTGTGCTTCTCTTGTGAATTTTGCGTCTCTATCTCCTGTAGCTGGCAAGCAACATTGTTCCGAATATGGATAAAGGTTTAAGGGAAACCTAAAAATATGTCAAACTTTTGCTTGCAATTCCCATGTGATTTCCATCGCATCAACGGGCTGAGAACAGTCGCAGAAAGAGGAGTGGCATGAATATCCGCTGGTGCATTTGGAAGGTTTGTCAATGTCACTAGCGCTGTACTGATGTATACGCATTGCAGGTATCACTTTCAATGGCCGAATGGACAAGGCAGCTTCACCCGAGGCGAAAACGGAGATTCCAACAATAACCGAGTGTTCGAGATCCCAGAGAAACTGACGTTCCCATCTCCACCTTCCGGCGTTCCCTTTGCCATAGCCATTCCGACCTCTAACTCGGTCGTAGGGCCATATGGTACAGCATCTTCCAGCATTGATGGAATCGCCCAAGTACCACATGGGGGCTGGGCTCTGGCAGCTCCCTCCAGTACTGCACTTTCCGGTCCAAGTGCCACAGCGTCTGCTTATGCTCAAGGGCTTGCCCTCGCTGGATTCCCTACCCCTCTTCTACCTCAAATCCTCTCAAATAACATCTTCAATTCAGGGACCAAAGAACTTCAGTTTCCTGATTCGGGGAGACCTTTGAATCGAGACGACACTCATGAAGACCCAATGAAGGAATTCCATACCGATTCAGTAAAGGAACAGCCATCTACCGCATTGCCCACCGCGAGCCCTCACCAGTCGAAGCCATCAATCGATTTGCCCATCGCGCGCCCTCCCCAATCGAAGCCATCAGTTAAATTACCCATCGCGCTACCTCCAGGATCCACACAACCGCTCAAAAAATCCTCTACCTCTCAGGAAGAACAGATCGTTTCCTTCAATAAGATACCTGTACCTGCAATTCCCCGTCCTTCCGTCTTCTACAATCAGCCTCCTTCAGGCACCTTTGTGGTCGTTTCCACTCCTCATGCCTACTACCACTATTCCATTCCAGGCCATTGGTGACTTCTCTATCCATGAAACATAAATTTCCTCATTTGGATTGATCTCTATGTTTGATCCGCCTCGTTTTTATGCCCTAACTTAATTTTGAATAAATTTTATTGATTCCCTGTTTTCATTATTCATAACAAATCCGTTCGAACGAACTAGGGATAGCTGCTTCGTCACTGCTAAATTTGCAATAACGTTGCTAAACATCAAGGTTAAGGACCAGGAAAGAAGGTCAAACAAAAGGAAACCTCTTGGAAATACCTCACTCGGAGCAAAACAGGTCAAATGGCATGAAGGAAGGAAGTTGGATAGTGTAACAGGTCGTGGGGTCATACAGTCAAAGGCAAAACAGGCAGGCAGACCAGAGGGAAACGGACAATGGGAAAGGGGAGGACAAAAGAATCGAGGTCTGGGGCTTGATTGCAATTGAATAGAGAGGAGGGAAACGGGAAAGAGAGGTCGGCAGAAAAAGAGGGAGAGAAAAAACGAAGCCATTGGGTCAAGGAACCTAATTGGAAGGAAAGGCCTATCGATATAAACAGCAAAGCCTACCTCCGATGACCATCATGCAGATGGTGAAGATCTTCTCGTTGTCTGTTTCGGCTGCCACATTCCCAAACCCAACGCTGGTCATGCAAGTCATGGTGAAATAGAGGGACGTGATGTACATCGTTCCACGGGAGGGTCCATTCACGAGTTCGTGTTCTAGGGTGTCATTTCGCCACTGATAAGAATAGTAGCTGTGGGTTGTGTTGGCCAATTTCCACGGCCACGAGAAGGTCAGCCCATTGTCCGCATCTCCTCTCCCGATTGTATACCAGATGCATGCCAACCAGTGAGCAACCAACATGTAGAAACACAGGAGGAGAATCAACATCGCCGCCCCGTACTCCAAGTATCGGTCCAATTTCCTCACAACACGCCCCAATCGCAGAAGACGAACAACTTTCAACGCGCTGAACAGGCTCCCAATGCCCTAGGGAGAAAATAAAGAAAGATTAATGAAAACAAACAAAATTAGCCTCGTCTGAAAGCTTCAAAACATAGGTCACAACTTCATTTGTCGAGTATAATCGAAGGCCATGCTTCGGTCATTTCTCTATTCGAATGTCATTCCCTACGTGCAAGAGTGCCGGGCAATTGGCGGGTGAATTTCGCTGGCTCGCGTATGCCATAACTTGTCCCCTCCCCTCTTGCATTTCAGCCTTCGTGGGAGATGGGACTCAACGAACAGGAGAGAACCGGTATCAGGAGGGGAGGGATGAAACGAAAATAAATTGTCGCACGTGAAGAGACAAAGAAGGGAAGGGATCGTTCATTCCAAGGTGCATTAGAGTGAATTGGAGACTCCGCACCCGCTTCCCAATGATGACAAACGATGGAAACCCCCTGCCTGGAATAAAACTTTTCCTCTCCTTACAAAGACAGAACTGCTGTCCTTTTCTTCGTTGCCTCATTGAGGAGAGAATGAGCCTTTTTGTATCGGAACGGAAGGTAATGTTCCTCCATGAACTCACACTGATGGTCACTGTCTGATGTAGCCTCTGAATGCCCAGGCATTTTCCTCCTCCCTTACCATTGGATGAGATGAGATTCCTGCCGCAATAATCCCAGAGAATCCAATCTCAGGCTCTTTTATACCTCGCTCAATGCATCTATCGTCGAGATAGGAAGAGAAAGGGAGACAGGCAGAGAAGGTTTGTGAGGAGGATGGCAAAGAAAGAAGTGATATGTATAATCATAGCCCTGTTGCGTGCAACCCAGAGGTCTCTTATGCCTGTCCATCCAGACTAATAATGTCCCTCGTGAGATGCCCATTCGACCACAAAGACGGACCACATATTGTCCCTCTCACAACCTCCGTCAATGCAAAATACATTCTCTCATCCATCACTGCTCCCATCGCATTTCGTGGAGCCGCATAGTTTCACCATGAAGTTTTCCCAAGTCTCCAGGGACCAAGGGCTAAGACGAAAAAAATATATATCATGCGGCTTATTCGAGTATAGACGACTTCTTCGTCGAAAGAATCAATCTCGTTCTATCTCCCAGGCTTCATCTTTGTCTTCCTCTCGTCTCTTGATAGAGCGGCTCAGAACTCGACACGAGGGAGAAAGTGCTGAGGAATTTACATGGAAATCTCCTCATCAAGGCTCTATTCCAGGCCACACTTGGAACCAGAGAGGAAAAATTGAATTTGCAAATTAATTTCATGCTTTCTCTTCTCTGCGTCCACAAAAACCACCGAGGAGAGGAAGTCAACGTATTGCTAATGGTTGATTCCTTTGGGGGATTCATTACCGATGGATTTCTATGAACCTGAGCACCTAGCACCTCATTAGAGGAAAGTTCTGGTTCTCCTCTTCCCCTGACACCCATGGGAATGTCCATGGTATGGCAACTCCCTTTCTTATGGCCTCCAGTCATCCTTTTTTCTTTTTTTGGCAGAGGTGTCATTGCATCGATCTTTCATCGCTTGAATTGTTAAATGGATTTCTCGACATTTTCCTTTCTCCAAGGTCAGGACTCCCAAGCGAATCTCATATGAGGATTCCAGCTCCTCCAGATTGGAGGAAGAGTGACGAAAATGGAGATTTGTGGTGATAGTATCGATCCATCAAATGAGCGATGGCTTTAATTAAGGAAGCCCCCGAGGTTCATGTTCATGCATCAACTCGCTTCTTCATTTCACCCTAGCCCTAGGTGCAAAAATTGTGCATGGAGAAGGCTACTGCTACTGTTACAGGCAATACTAAGGCATGAGGTATTTTCGCCTGGATGGAAAAGGAAAGGGCAGGAATGTGCGGAAATGCGGCCATGCATCGGCCTACTAGTGCGCGTCAGAATTTCAGTGTTTTTCAGTCCGTTCCGTACCTGTTCCATATAGGTAGGCACACGCGGCAAAATGCTGCTCATTCGCGTCAAAGTGGTTCGTGCCTGTTGCAAGTCTTTTCGTTGTCCCCTCCCGACTTAGCTGGTCAAGACTGGTCAAGTGATGCAGCTAGCAAGCAACTGCATTTATCCTCCATTTCAGAGTCCCTATAAGTCTTAAGAGCCTGATACACTTGGCGAGTACTCGTCAGCGAGTGAGCAAGTATGGTGTTAGGCGAGTTCTCGTTGGTGAGGGTCATCCATTTACTCGCCTCAAACTGGCAGACATCTATTTCATAAATGGACATCTATTTCTTTGAGAACCTATGCACAGATGTCGAGAAATATGAAATACGCCTTTGGCACTAGATGATGTAAGTAAATCGATTATTTTACCTGAAACGTGAGTCTTCGGCATTCACATCTTCTTAAGTGATAAAACTCGATGGATTTTAGGCATTTTTCATTGAGATGTCTTGTTACTTTCGATTGGGTGACGTTACTGCCAACCTGAGGTTAGCAACATTAAACAAATACTGTATGTCTTCCCTCAAAGAACCCCAGAGCAGTTTCAGAGTTATCTAAACCACTTTCAATGAATTTCATATTTTTCATTTTTACGTCACGCGACTTCCTGCGTGAGGAGCACTGGGAAACATTTCACTATGCGTCGCCTAAGGCCGAGTTCATACACGTGCTATACAGCATGTACAGCTGCGGCCAAATCCAATCCAACACTGGTCTGTTGCATTTGGACAGTATGCAGTTGCAGCATCCAGCATGCTGTACAGCACGAGTATGAACTCGGTCTAATGCGCCAGATTTTATAGCTAAATTTCGAGAGGCTTACTTTTTCTGCCAACCTTGTAGTACTAACCGGTTTTGATGGAGTAATTGTTCAGCCGAATCACGTGACTGTGGGCGCAAGCATTTAGGGAGGGGATGAGAATGGTTCAAGGTCAATTTCAACGCAAAGCGCATTCGATTACTACAATGTCCTTAATTTTTTATTATTATCATTCTGCGAACTTTTTGAACTGGACCACGTATAATCATCGGCAGTCACGATTGTTTATGTAAGAAAACTGCAATCTATTCGCTGTATTTGTGTGTGGGTGTGTGTGTGAGGGGGGGGGGGGGGGGGGGGGGGGTGAGGGGGGGGGGGGGGGGGGGGGGGGGGGGGGGGGGGGGGGGGAGATGGTTAGCTTAGCCTCCTTTTCCTTATTATGTCATATCCCACTAAGAGAGCAGCAGTCACTCCAACGTCGAACTGCGGCTGATAGGAACGCATCCTGAACTAATTCGAAAAGTTTTACATTGATCTTTCTAAGAACCATTATGCTTTCAGGTTGGCTTCAGATTGGCTTTTGCCAGCGCGCACTCGCCTGAAGTTTGAAATCTTCCAAACTCGTAGGGAGTGCTAGCAAGCAAGTCCCCACACTTTAGGAAATTTTTTAAGTTTCAAATATTTTCCCCGAACTTTGAAGATGCTCTAGCTCAAGCATCTGAAGAAGACTCTCCTTCCCCAAAACATGGAGCTTTTTGTAAATTTTCTCAATAAACACCAGAGAGGGAGCTCCCTATTGTTTATCGTCTTTGCTCTACGCTTCTCTCCCGCCCATCCTGGTGTTGAGGGAAGCCTTCAGTTTGGTGTTTTTCATTTCCTCCAAGTTTTCCACCTTTTTTTAAAATTACAAATTGTAGATAGGATTTGAATTTATTTTCACTCTTCCTCTCGTCCTCTCCAGTCTTTCATTGTTTCTCATTCATTTATCGTCCATCAGACATCTCTTTTTAAAGCAAGTTTTTCTTTTCGAATTACATTCAAGACTGAGCATTACATCCTCAGCACATTGTTTCATAGTAGAATGTCCCAGTACTGTTTCGGTGATGACAAATCCGAAAAAGAATATGCCTCGGAAGATGAGGACTCATTCCCTTCGGAAACAGATAGGTCTCTAATTGCATGAAGTGTGACATTTCATTTTGAAGTTTTCCCATAAAAACCTGTCAACTCCAATTTCCCTGCTTTGATAAGATACCAACTAATGGAGATTGCTGTTTGAGAAACCTAATTAATTCCCCATGCCTTCCAGCTAATACTCCCGAATATTCCAACTTCCGAAAATTGCCGAGAGCGAAAGATAATGTCTTTTTTATATTAATATTCTTGAGTCTTGATGTCTTGAGTCAGAGTCACTCTTAGTTCTGGGGATTTCAACCAGTATCATATTTCGGGCGCTACATTGCAGGATTCGAATCGCGGAATGCAATCCCCAATTTCAAATTATATGCGTGAAATCTCGAGTTTTTTACCTCCATTCCTTATGTGAACTTTTAGGCAAATAAATATTATTAATAGATTTAAAAATCAATTTTAATTTATTGTCGACAAAATTTGGCCCCAACTTCAAGATTATGACTTTAAAATATTCCGAATAAGATCATAATTATCTAAATTTATTTTCAGAAAAGCTGACTCAAGTGCTTATTACAAGAATTCGAGTTTTAATGCATAATTCGAATCATTCCTCCACGAACCATAATCCCGATTGAAAATGGGATTCAAATAGGACTCGAATCAATGTTGATTGTGCATTCGCTCATCACTCTGAAAACGCATTGAAGGTTTTCGTTTTTTTTTTTTAACAGTACTAAAGGTTGTGAATGGCTTTCAAATTCCAAACCGCCTGCTTGGAAAAAATAACTTGGTATTTTCAGAGCTGTCTGGTTGACGCGATATTCTGAGCATCACCGCTATTTGCAACAGGTACGAACCATTTTGAACAAGCGCGAAACATTTTGCCGATGGTGCCTTCTAACGTGCAGCAGGTACGAAGCTCGCTGAAGAACACTGTAAAAGCTTGGAAACGTATGCTACAAGGAGAGTATCCATGATTCTTGAAAGCAGCTGCAGTCATCCAGATAGCCAGCCAGGCAGGCATTTTGTTCCCATAGCTTTTTTCGTTTCGTTCAGCTCTTATGGATGACTCACATTTTCCGTGTAGGGCGAGGTGGTGAGTGAGACGTGGCACGTGGCACTTACGTCTTCGTCGTGATCGAATGCGTTGAACACGTCGTAAGGAAGGCAAGAGAGGAGATCGATGATGAACCAACTCTTGAGATAATTCATGCGGATGATTTTGGGGTCGGAAACGACTTCTCCGCCGGGACCCACGAACGTCGTATGGAAATTGAGCACGATGTCGATGAAGAAGATCACGTCCACGATGCTGTCCACGACCAAAAGGCTCACGTCTTCCGACGTCTTGTTCTGCAACATCAATCCGAATATTTCCAATGTCTCATCCATACTCTAGTTCTTTCTACGCCCCCAAGACTTGAAAAGGAAACTAAATTGGCCATCGAGCTGTTGATTTCCCCCGGTTCATCGGAAACTATTTTTACCGGGCCTATCGATCTAACCATGGATGGACGATATGGAGTGGACCCCTTTTATAAACGAGCAGGGAAGGACCAACTGACCTTGAAGGCTACGTTGTAAGGGACCATGATGGCCGTGTAGAAGGTAAGGCAGAGGATGATCCAATCCCAGATGGCTTTGAAGGCGCAATAATGAAGGAGAATGTGGGGTGGGGTTTTGGGCGCTTCTTGACGATACTGAGGCATCACATCCGCATTCAAGCTCATCATCTGCGAAGTTGATAAAAGATGAAGGAAAGAACCGATTAGAATCTTTCTTCAGCTGGGATGAAAAATCGTTCTGAGGAATTGAAACGATTGATCAGAAGTCGAGAAAGGATTCTTGGAGAATGGAAAAAGTTAAGTTACCAGTTCACTTGGGAGAAGCTGCCACAGTAGGTACCTTTACGATGAAGATGGTAGGGTATTTCAATAATAAATCCCAACTGCAAGCATGCACGTCCGTCATCTCCCACGCTAGATCCTCCGGTTATTCTTCTTTTCGAACAAAATAATCTTTTAAAGGGCTGAAAAAGATTTTCGGTTTCTTTGGAAGCAGTTAGATGTAGGTCAAGCGCGTGCCATCATTATTTTTTTATTTTCCATCTAATTTTTGTTCATTCACAATAAGTTCTCAATGCTTGTGTGGCATGCTTGGATTTCATTATTTGTAAGTAGGTTATGCTAGTGTTTCGAGTTATAACTGAAGCACGATATGGGTCTCGTACCTTCTTCACTCTAAAATCTACAAGGTCATTCGGGGTAAGTGCGATCAGTACCCTTTTGGTACTTATAAGTGCAAGAAGCCATCAACAAAGTATGCATAAAGAAGTACTGTCATAACAATCCTACATTGCATATCCAGCCAAATGTCACTTCTTAAACTGAGATAAATTGTACAGGGTATTCACACCTTTCACCTCCAGTACTTAATTCGGCGCAATTACTCCAGCTTTCTCTGAATGATCTGCTTGAAATTCCATATTTTGTATAATGACAAAGTAAGAAAGTCAGTGTATCAAACTAGTCCTATATGGAAATTCATTCTTTGTAGGCACGGGCCTAGTAAGGCAGATCACAATTACCCCTTAAAATCAGTCAAGGGGCTAAGCGTGATCAAATATATGTGAGGGCAAGTGCGATCTTTCCTAGCGTAATTTTTGACCAGTTTCCATGTCTCATTCACTTTTAAACTGTAGGGCTTCACTCGGAGACTTGTAATCAACTTCGTTAAAGCCACTTCATCTTGGCTGAAGTTCCCTGTCTCATTGACACATTATGTGAGCCTCTTCGAAAATTGATACAAAGGTCTTTTGCTCATCCTCTGTGCGCATTGGAACCAGGTTACTCTTGAATTACCATCAACTAGTAGAGTGTAGAATGGTCATTCAGTGTAGAATGAGCAATGTTTGTGGTATGTGCAACACTTCCGTCCGTTTGATATGCCTATTCCAGTGAAAACTGGGTATTTTACATATTTCCAAAATACGCGAACTAGCTGTGAGGAGGTGAGGGTAAATATGATCGCTGAAAGAAATGCTGATGTCTAAGAAAATGCATGAAAGTCTATACCAATCGTACCAATAAACTTGGCAGCAAGCCCTTCTATTTTCATCTATTGTATTTTTCCCCCTCTCCAAAGTGTGTCAATGCAAAGAACAAGTGGCGGTTTATGTGACCACTATTTAAAAAACATGCTGTTAGTGTAGGAAATTATGTTTATGTGTCTAAAACGTGATGTTTATTCCTTCAGTAATATCACATGACCCCATCGTTTGTTTAGCGATCACACTTCCTCAGTTTAAGATCACACTTACTCTTCTTAAGTGGAGATCAATGAAGTAATTTCGTCACCCATGTAAGTCTAAATCTATCATATTGAATGCTTTGGTTGGATCACACATACTCTTCTGACGTGGTGCGATTAAAATTACCATTTCAGTGCAAATGCCGTGAACTCATGCAGTTTTCGAAGTGAATGAATGAAGATGCCATAATTTGAAATCATCTGTCAAACGATAGCGTGCAAAAAATTATATCTGCCATAGAATAGTTTTGCCGTTCATTCAAAAATTTTATGATTTTTCACACTTACCCCGTACGACAAGAATATTTATTACAAAAATCGTCCAGACAAGTTTTTGATATTCCGCGTTCCATGTCTGCACGAAGAGATCGATGAAATGGGGGGGGGGGGGGGGAACACGGAATGCATACCACATACGAAAGACATGAGAGGGTGAAGAAATGAAAGGAGAATGGGGTCAATATGTCATTGGTCTGAAAAGAGAGAGGTAGGGAGTTGCTTGCATGTATTTCATCTCCATGACGACGGCGAGAGGGGGGAACCCAAAATCATTAAGACGAAGGACTCCGCTCTGACTCCTGATTCCAGCAGGAACAGCTCTCTGTAGGACTTGGAATTAATCCTGATGTTCTGAACCTCGTGTAACTTCTTGGGTTTAAGGGTGGTCTGTCAGATCCGACAGACCACCCTGTCCAGTAGTGTTGCAAGACGAACATGGAAATTTTAGGGATCGTGAGAGGAGATTGACTTCGATCCATACCAGTAATTAAAGGTTACAATCATCGTCATCTTCATGCTCTCCTTTCTCCCTCTCTCTCTGGGTCCAGTCCCATCGATCCCAGAATACATACACACAATCTACCCTCTGTTCCTCCACTCTCTCTCATTCCCGGGAAGAGAAGGCCATTAACCGGCGACTTGCAATCTTCCCACGAGAACAGGGTTCTTCCTTCCTCTTCCCCCTTCCCCTTCATTTCTACTGGAAGCTAAATGAAAGAGTTGTCGGGATCGGGGGCTGCTCTCTCGCCGCCGAGACGGAAAAGAGAGGCCCATATGGAATATTTGGCCAGCTTGCCAAGAGGAGAATGAGAGGTTGAGAGCTCGTTACATCAGCTGGAAACATTACTGGCTGGCTTGGATCGAGCGCAGGTGTACAAACAGGGCATTGCATGGCTCGGTACTCCTTAGCTTCCCTTCCCTCTCCTTCAACCTTGACTGATTAATGCAACACAGCTGACATGTGAAGTAAATCATGTTACAGCGAAGAGGACAAACAGTCCTCTTCGCCGTTTACAGAAGAAAGGTGTCGTTTTTGTTTCGAGAGATACGGGTAAGGATACGGTATCTGAGTCATGTGTACGTGTTTAAGAGGCAGACCTATCGGACCTGGCAGGGATCCAAACAGTTGAAAATGTGCCAGACGGGGGGGTTGGGGAATACGGATGACGTCACTGGACTCCAGGACACCCCAGACAAAGCGGCACTCTCTCTATCTCTCTCTTTTCCTCAAAGGCTTCGGGTATCATCATGTGAGATGTATGTGATGCATGCTCCACATATATTGGAGTAACGGGAGACGCAGTCCATTATGGGCATGCACGCACGGGCTGCTACATTCAGACACTACCATTCCCTCTACTGATGCAAGGATATCCATTTGGGAAGCCGGAGGAGGATATGTAATCATCTCGTTTCTCATATAGTAATTCATCGCATGCTCGTACACTGGCACCCTGTGGAGTCCCAGCTTCCCAATGGATTTCCATGCAAACTCCCAACATCTCAACATCAAGCAATTCCATTCAGATTTAAGCCAAGGCAGAACGTGCAGGTAAAGGCATCCACGAATCATACCAGTTGCGAAGGGCAGTTCAGTCGTGTGTTGAAAATCAGAGAGAATCGTTTTTATGCATAGGAAAAACAATCCGTAAGCAAATATGTGTTCTACTCAGCTAAACTTATGGAATAATGCTGCCTAGGAAGGAAGCAGGCTTGTAATCTAAGGCGTCTTGCAATCCAAGTTCATTCTCTTAAAAAATTCAGCAGCAACAGGCAAGCGAGATGAATTATCGGAATCGAAAGTAATCTTCGTCAAGGTCTCAGAGCCTTCATAGATCATGCTGATTCTCTCTATGAAAATTTCGCATTCTCGCGGAACACGTAACAATTTTTGAGGCGGCTCCACATGACAGAATAGGGATAGCCATAGGAATTATTTCATCAAGGGTTCACATACATCACTCTTCGTCAAAACTTGCTATCGATTCTCTTTCTGGCCCGGATCGAGTGACAAGTTTCGAGGCCCTGAGACCAAATTGACTCTATAACTGCGGGCTGGGAAGATGCAAGGAGCAGCAGACCACGATGATAGTGATGATGATGATGATGAAGAATGAGGGAAAAGTAAAAGGGGGGAGAGAGACAGAGGCATGGATTGGAACTACTCACATTGATGGTGCTACTCACATGGGCGATGTGGGACTGCTTGCTCAATGTGTCTTTCACGGGAAGATGAGACGAAAATTGACTCAAAAGCACGCTTCGATTCCTCGTCACCGATCTTGCCAGGCGAGCAAACTTACTGAGCCCCACTGCAACACATCGGATATTGACACACACTAGGGCATGGAATGATATGATTCGGATGTTGAAGATGAAACGAACCTTTCCCATCCTCGACATCGATGGGTTGTTTCAGCGCCGTGATATCCCGGAATGTGCATAGATACAAGACCACCAAGTCCTTCTCGTTCTTGATGGGAGATATCTGCAGCAACAGCCACAATGGCGTCCCTACAAACCAGCGAGTAAATTTGAGCATACTCAGGATATCTGAAATGGAAATTGAGGCCAAACACCTCGGGATATCTGGCAATAACCAGTATACTTTCGGCATACATCCTGTGCAATTCTGTCGGGGCTGCGCTGCTAGTTTTTCACTTCCCTGGAGTTTCTTTTTTCCTCCTTTCACATCTGATAGACTTCTCCAGTAGGGCATCGGAATTGATAACCGCAAATTTTTTATTCTAGACTTGGGCAAGCTTTGGAACTTAACCCCAGAGATTTGTTTCCCTTCGACTATACAGCATTTCAGAAGAAACGCCGCTCTTTTCCTTCAGTCTGAACATTCAGCAATGCCAAGTGCTAACGCTTTCTTTTAGCCATAAAAAGCCTGTCATAGTAGAGTCAATCCACCGGGGAACAGAAACCAAGAGCACGTGGAATCCATCCATACTCCATTCATACCCTCCCCTTTTTGCCCTCACAACAAAAATAGTTTTGAGCCGCTTCTCAGGGTTGTGACAGTTACAGAGACCAGGAAGGATTCTGATCAGGGAAGTGACAACGCGAACCACGGAAAAAAGCTGCAGGACATATAGATTATTACAACATATTGGTATTGATTCACCCTCCCTCCCCCCAAAAGGCAAAAATGTTTCTCTTTGAAAAGAGAGATGAGGGCTGATCGATCCCAGGGACTTGACCAAAGGCTCTTCTTTTTCGCTCCGTCTGCTCCTACTTCCCTTATCCTCTCCGACTTCAATAGACCCTCTTGTTTCATATTATTTCTCCCTTCCAAGATTGTATGATCTTTTTGGAGCTATCTATCCGATATCTGCAATCTTAAATCAGACGAGGACCTCTGACATAAAACCTCTTCAAGTAATGAATCGATCCATCTTATGCAATCAAATTGGCATCATCCACTCCCTTGAACTCGGTTTAAGTGCACGCATAATTGATTATGGCGTGCAAGGGAATGGGTGGGAGATGAAAAGTGAGCCCAAGACTCATCTGATGCATGTGAGACTGAGTACAAGCAATCTCATCAGGTGATGCACCCCTTTTGGGACGCCCTTGGGTCATCAATCAAAGTCATCAGCCTCGAGTGCTCTCAAAAGCGTCCTGCATGCCTCCATAAAATGGCGAACCTCGAGATGCCCCAATTTCCAGAAAGAGTTTTCCATGCCATACAGATGATCATACTTTTTCCATATTCCTAGTACGTTCTTATGCTTTCTGATTAATGATACCGGATGCGGGTGGTAGAGACCTGTTTTATGCATGAGGATCGACCAGGAGATGTCACAAGGATATCCCTAACCAGGTATGTCTATAGTATACGAGTAAGCCAAACGGTATGTCCCCTTCCCCTTCTTTCCCTCTCTCTTTCTTCCTCCTCCTCTCATGAAAGATTCATCGACCACGCAAGAAGACCGGTCGTCTTTTCTCCAGTGTGTGCAGGTGGCTTTCTTGGGCACAATCCATATCAAAGAGGAGATCCCACAATCCCTGGCTTTATCTCCAGTAGAGTACTGCTTCTTTATTTTTCGTTGCATCGAAAGCAGAGGAAATCACAGGGGAAATCAGGGCTCCCTCTCTCTACAGGCCATGACACGATCTTCCTCCCTCAACCGTGATGGCCCATGACCAGGAACTCCACTCTTCAATCCCCTCTTTTCTTTGGCGATTTTTCCCTCCTGGTCGCCATGAGAGCATTGACCTGGAAGACCTTCCCTTTCAGAAGGGAGGGGAAAAGGTTTTCGGGATTGTCCCCGATCCCAGAGATGTCGTACCATTAATCATCGATGGAACTATAGGGCCTTTTAAGGCGATCTTCCACGAGCCATGGCCTTTCCTCACGGAATACGTGAGTTTTCCCCTTTCCGCTATCTAGGGTTTTTCTTCGGCACCACATATTTCATCTCCTTGAAGGGGGAGATTCCAGCACAGCCTTTAAGCATCACGACTTTCTTAGCATCTCCAAATATTTGATGATCCCTGAAAATCTAATGAAGTCGTGCCGAGACAGCCGCTAGAGTAATTTGGTGGATGGTAGGGGGGAAATGGACGGGGAATGGCATTACATGTCAGACTCTCCGACATGATGCAATCACTAGATGGATGGATGAGGGAAATACGGCATACACCATTATACATGAGGGATAATAGGACGTAGACGAGAAAGGAGGGAAGGAAAGTGATGAAAAAATGATTATGAAGATCGATTGAATTCTCCACTATTCGTGGAGACGAGGGATTTGAAGGGAAAAGGGTTGCTGGGGAAGAAAGTTCACTCCTCTTTGGAAGATTCATGAATAATTTCCCCACTCCCGTTCCTTGAGGGGAATATGTGGAAAGAAATCCTTTCCTTTCTCGTCATGTCGGCTCGAAATGAATCGTGACATGAACCTTTCCGATCGCCTATTTAAGTAGAATATGACTGTAGATCCATAAGAGGGAAGGCAGAAAGGAAGGAATGATGCCATTGTCGCATGTGGTCCTCAGGGTAATCTCGTTAGTTGGGAGACTCTAATCTCTCACTCGGCTGGGGAGGAGAAGGCCTACAGAACAGACCTTTCCAGCTCCAAAGCGTCTCCTCAATTCTTCTTCGAGGAAAAAAAGAGCCCCAGATAACGTCACGTGCCCTATTTTCATGCTCTCAATGCATAGGAGACTGCAAAAAAATGCAGTGCCTTTCCCCATTACCCATACCCCGACTAACAGGCAAGCATGCCGGCTAGCGGACAAAGGCGGACTCTTGGGGTCTGCCGGGGATTAAGTTATTCAGAAGAAAAGAAAAGAAAAAAAGAGAAGGGAGAGAAGTGGTTTTCTGGGAACCAGGGAAGCGAATCGCAGAGACTTCTTTAAATGTGAGGCCCAAGCGCAAGGGAAAAGGCCTATCATATCTGCCTATTGGATTTATGCATGGCATCTTGCCAGTCCCCGACACATTCGAAGGGGTACCACAAGAAAGCACCAACAAAAAAATAGAGAAAAAGTTGCGCACCTCTAGACAAGAATAGGTTCTCTTTCTCAGTCATAAATCATGCAAACGATCCTACTGATGGCCATCGTCGGGGCCATCGACGATATACGACAAAAAGAAAAGACGATGACTGTAAAGAACGTTGCGGGTTCGACCGTCACATCTTTCATCTCCTTCCCTCATTATGGGCTTATGCGTGAAATAAAAAAATGCAAACTTTGGAATCTATGGCTTTGAGGCAGGAAGAGGAAGAGGGACCTTTTTCCTTTGAGCTTCGGGATTTATGAATTTTGGATCGATACTCATGCGTTGATACCTGTGAAAGAACCCCATGACATCGTTCCCATCATGGAAGGAAACCCCCCCCCCCTAATGATAGAGAAGAGGTATAGGATAATATTTCTTACGGTTCTTCTTGTAAAGGAGGATTTCGAACTGATCGATGCATTGCCTCTCCAAGCATTCCTCGACCCTCTGGATCGTGTCTCGATCCGTCAGATCTCCATACATGAAGCTGAAGCGACACGACTTCTGCATCACCTAATAGATGGGGGAAACCACTTTTTAATAAACGCAGATGCGTACAACGACACTTGTCAAAAGACACAAGGAATTCTTATTATAAGACACGATAGTGCCTTCTGATAAGAATCACGCAGAATGGTCCTTACAGACACCACTCTCCGCCTCCACAATTCAGGCTCACGCTCACGCATGAGTTCCTAAATCGGCTTACTCTCCCTCATGGCAAAAGTCTCTGAAATTCCGCAAAGCTTTCTCTATTTTGCCCTCGTCCTTACGCAGGTCTGGAAGTACGGTGTTGGGAATTATCTTTTTCTCATGAGAAAACATCCGAAATTACAGACAGATCTAGAGCAAGAACTAACGAACCATTTTCAACAAATGATTACGTTGATTTCATCTCACTGGAGAAAGTTGCTTTAGGGTATCTTGAGTAACGATCTAGTTCATAAAGCACAAAAAAGTACTTAATGAATGAAACTTAGACCGACATACGGCAACAGTGACACTGTCTGCAGCAGGCTCGGGTAATTCTGCTATTTAAAAAATTAGAAATCCAAAATCTTTAAGTGCAAAACAGACCAAGTTTCCCGTGGGATCACAACCCTAAAACTAAGGAGACAAGACTTCGGGTAGTCAGAATCGCCGGCGAAGATAAAAATCATTTGGAGATAAGGTTGGAGATAAATTCACTAAATGCTGTAATAAATGAAAAAGGTATATTAGGTATGAGGTATTGCTTTTTTTTAAATAGAAGATATAGACTACTTGTGAATTTCCACACTTCCATTATGTACGTAGAGGATTAGATTTTCTACAGCGTTTCCGGATTGGATGGCATCGACGGCGAGGTCAATGATTGTCCTCAGTAAATGAAGGCAAAATCAGCAAGTGGCCTGGGGCCTGTTCCATATTCACAAGCTGCAAGCTACAAGTTACGAGTATTTACGAGGGTCGTGTCTTGGTCATGCGAAGAATCAGCGGGACCCGCTAGAAGAGTTCAACAAGAAGACACGACCCTTGCAAGTACTTGTGAATTGTAAATGTTCTGTGGAACGGGCCCCTAAGCATCCTCCCGATTTAGTTTTGGAAGTAGATAAAGGTGGAGTCGACGGATGGTATCCTTTCCACCATTTATTTTCAATTATCGGCAATCGATCGAAGCGATGCCCGAGCGGGAACGACATGAATAATTGATCCTCTTTGGAGTTCCGAGATGGATGAGGCACTTCTCGGACAAAGCAGTCCATCTGATTCCCCCTCGTGGGTCACCCTGGTCTCCCGTTCTTTCGTTCTCGTCCGAGAGACATTGAGGGCTTGGGACACGATTCCATTACATCACACAGCGAGGAATGACAATGAAGTGAGAGTGAGTGAGTGCGTAAGAGTGTGCTATCGTTCCTGTGGGAAGGCAGGGGTCCAAGGGGACATTTTCCCTTCGGAAATTTTAAATTTTTTTTAGGACGGCCCTCTCCCAACAGCTAGCTTTAAATTCACAGTCCTATTTTCGTCTCATCTTGGCTAAACTATGGTCTTCCTTCATTTTTAATTTCGTCGCATCTGCAGCCAATCATAACTACGATTACACTACGGCGCAACTTATATTTTGAAATGCCTCACCGGTTTAGTTGGGCGAGGGTAAAGCGATAATCAGACTCTAGTTCCATGGAAACTAGTTCACAGAGGTCGGGCTTTCGTTCAGTCAATAATAAGCCCAAAACCCGGTTAAATTTTCATGGTTGTTCAGGCCGACGTGCATACAGGTCTATATTTCGTGAAAGGCTCAATAGAATGAAAAAAGGTATGTTTCGAGATCGAGGTGTCTAAATGTCTCAATAATTTACTCACTTCCTGGTCATATTTCTCCTCACCAGGAAGAACTTATGGAAGCTTCTCACCTTGCCATCAACTTTTTGTCGCCTGTTCTTTTTATTTCGTTATCATCGCAACTCGGTGGACGTTTAAAACGTCTGACTTTTTACTCATACTTTCTTAAGTGATTTTTTACCTACGACCTATTTCGCCCTTTCCATGAGAACTTGGATCAGATCTCCTCTCAATATCGAGATGCTCGGGCTAATGATTTGGAGCGCCACATCATCGTTGCCAACAGCGACCTCATATTGTCTTCTGGCCAAAATCGATTTTCGGGTCATTACCGGTCGCCGATCCCTGCGACATGAAGCACCCACGAAGTGCCATAAAAAAAAAAGGCCGGCCATTCCATGTTACAATGATGCCATCGAATTTGTTTTTGCGACTAACTTTGTGACCAAAAGGACAGTGAGACTGTCACACGTTATTCGCGTACGGCTTTCGACAGGTGAGGCCATCAGGCGGTGAAAACTCTTACAAACATGGCAGAGTCAGCCTGTTAGCTTTTACGCACGCACACGGAAAGAAACAAGATTGCGAGGAAGAATAAACAACTTGAAAGATATATCCGCGGTGAAGCCTCAAGATGTATTATGGGCCAGCACCTGCTGTGCAGTCTACAGAAAGCGATACAAACATTCTCACGTCTTTCCTTCAACCGCGTATCAATCGCACAACCGCGAGAAAGTACTTCGCTCGCGACACATTGTATAAAACGCAAAAATATCACTCACGTACTCCCTGCGTATACTTTACAACAGGTTGGCTTGAATTGTATGTATTACAACGTCCAATAAGGTGTCACATCATGATTCACTGATGATATCCATCATGATATCCATTACACACGTGTCATGATGATAACACGTGTGATGGATAAACACCGAATGCAAAAAAGGTTTGTAGCATAAAAGTCTGCATGAGAAAAAAAAGCCCAAGGACAAACACTTAGTGTCTTGATGAAGATTGGTGGGGAACTCGCAAAGACCTATATGCTTCGACTAAAACGTTTTCTTTTCGCCGTTCTTTTTTGCATGGAGACTTCATTAAAGACCGGGCCGAATTCTTATGGACATGCCAGACCTAATCCTTTTACGAAACTACACCATTATTTTCTTTCCTCACGAAGACAGAATCCTTGTCAAGGGACTTACTTCGGCTCGGTTGTAGCCAGAAATCTTGCAGAAGCTCTCACTGCAGTAGACGATGGGATAATCGACGATCTGTGCATTTGCAAGCAGGAAACTGCTGTCCGCTGGATAAAGGAAAAGAGAATAAAAGTTAGGACAAATCTGGATCATCGGACTTAGTGGGAACATAACATGCAGACACTTGGACCACAAAGAACACTATAGAGAGATTCTCTACGGTTCAAAGAATATATTTCAAAAATTCCCTCGCAATCCAGCCATCCAGCCTTCTCGACCATCCGTGCTTAATCATGGAGGCCAAGTGATTTTCATGGGAGATAAATCTCTCTGAGATGGGCTTTTTCATGCGTCTCATCCAATCTTAAGTTCCTCTTTCGGGAAAAGTGCCCTTTACACATGAGCGAATAGAAGGAAAGACCCCTCAATGAGCACGGATATTATTCCTTCAGGCTTCTAGAAGCTAAAAGACGAGAGAGGACAAGGAATAATATGGAAGGCGAAAAGATCCTTCTCAGGTGACAGAGGTGATTGCACCCATAGAAATAGAAGATCCTTAAGAAGATCGGAAGAGATAATACGTAACGATTCCCGATATGCAATCAAGAGTGTCGATTGTAAGGAACAAGCTAAGCCTCTTAGCATCGATTCATCATTCTCCATCTATGGCTCTATAGTGGGGAAGAAGAACCAATCGACTCCGGATATCATATTCGAGCCTCTACCCTCGCATAATATGAGTCAGATGTGTAAGAACGGATGGTAAAATGAGATCTCGGATGGTTGGAATTGATTCGACAAACAGTGTAAGAAGGGAGGAGGACATGTAGAAAGGTGACGTCATGAGGTAAATGGAAGAACAAATATCGTGACGGCAGAGAGAGACGACAGAAAGAGCACGAAAAGAAAAAGACGACGGTTGACAAGGAGTGACATCAAGTACTGTCTTCAATAGGAGTTAAGTGGTCGTCCCTTAGAAATATTTCCCATTCTTACAGAGAGTTAGGTATAAGTGACAGAGTAAATCCAGTGCAGCACCGCCGCTTCTCAAGGCAAACTTTCATGAAAATAAGATGGAATATGACGGCATTGGCCACCAACTGCAGCATCAAGGAGCAGGGGCCTGTTCCTCGCCTGTGTTAAACTTAAATCTAAATCTAAATCTAAAAGCAGTCTAAAAGCAGAAAGTCTATTCTTCGCCTTGACCCTTTAGACTAAGATTGAGCCTAAGATTTAGATTTAGATTTAAGTTTAGCAGAGGCGAGGAACGGGCCCCAGGAGTTGTTTACCCGAAGCTCTAACGACTCTGGCTAGGAACTCGAATAAAAAATATAGTATTACGTTTCAAAGTATCACGCAGCATATTCATTCATTTAGAAATTCTTGATATACGGATGTCACAGATGCAGCACTCGGGACTGCATAATCAGGGAAATTACTGGGAATCCTAGAAAGATAATTGGCTTCATTTACGAGAAACTTCTGGATTTCATTTGTGTGGCTGCAAGCGCAATACTCGGAAAGTGCGGAGTGATTAGCAGGCGGAACATGAGTGAATATAAGAATTCAACTTTCAGAATCTGAATTCGAGTTCGGATTCCAAACATATTTTCGTTTCCTGAGATGTCGGATTAAAATTCAGATTGGGATTCGACTCGGATTTCCTCCCTCTCTTTTCTTTTTCTCTTCGAGTTTCCCTCTTTCCCTCCCCTCTCCTTTTTCTTTGTTTGTCTATGATTGGTGTGTTAACGGAAGTTTTCTCTCTCGTTCTCTGTCTTGAAAGGAAGCCACAAAGCATAAGTCCACATGGAAAAAAAGAGAGAAAGGCGTCTGTCCAGGGCTTGAGCATGTTCAGAGCACTTCGGTAACTGATGTTAACTTGGAAATGAACGTTTCTCTTGCGAAGTAGTGGAGGGTACGTTAAAAAAATATTCGGGTCGGATTCACATTTGTCCTTTGCATCAGATGTCGGATTTATCCTCGGATTCGGAAGTTTAGACATGACGTCAGATCGGACGGACAGCAAAACTGGAGATTCGCCTTGTCTCCAATTCATAAGACATCCTGGTATTCCTGGAATAGAGTTACCATATGTCCGGTTTTTCCCGGACATTTCCTCCTTTTTCACCTTCAAATTTCCGCCCAAGCGGAAGGCGTCCTCTTTTTGGCTGTCCGAAATATGGTAACTCTATCCTGGATTCCATAATGTCCGATGACGTCATCCTACGAAATCTTCGCTCTCCAAATTCTCACTGGAGCGACAGGTGGCTGCATCACCTCATTTAATCAAACGGCTTACTTCATGTGCTTAGCAGATGGGAGATGCCAAGTGCAGGCCTAAAAGGAAATCGAACGTCGGGAAAGCAATACTCATCTCCTTCGCTGGCTTGAGAGGATCGAGTCCTCGGAAGGAATTATTGGTATCATCGGTGGAGACCATTTGAAGCGAGGGGCTGGCAAGTGCCAAGAGAAGGGCGGCGTTAGGAAGAAATATGGGAGCGATGAAGAGAGGAGATCCACCACTCGTTTTCTTCCCATTCGTAATTGAGGACGGTCTCACAAGACGAATGGGGTCGTGCTTCTCCTGATTGCATGTGCCCTATTCCCTCGCCTAGGAGCCAAGAATTCTCGCCATGAACAGCAACGGAAATAAGATGCGTAAAGCATCCTCCGAAAAAAAAAGTATTTAAAAAAACAAAGAAAACGAGACGATTTTTCCAAACGGCAGGGTCTCCTGGGAATCAATCCTTTCAGTCCGACAGAATGCCTTTAGTCATGTTCTTGACACCCTCTACGGGACAGGTAATTCCTTATTTACACGAGAAAGCCATTGGGAGGAAAGTTTGGTTCGGCGCTTCCTTTGTCAAGAGAGATCCACGTGACTGCACCTGAGAATGAAAGGTCTCTCTTTTCGGGGAAGCCGGGAGGAAAAGGCAGAAACGGGGATGGGCAGGGAACAAACCATGAAAGATAATTCTTTTTCCCCAAGGGAAGGAGAAAAATTCATTTCCGGGAAGGGGATCCTATGGTTCCCCGTCGCCTGTCGGAAAGGCTTCTCCCTCCTTCATCTCCATCCTTTGGTTTCTCCTTACTCACATCGCTCTCGTGTGCTTGGTCATCATACCCGTACCTCCAAAGCATATTGTGGAACATAAAAAAGCTCAGCCTGTGACTCGCACAAGCCCCCACGACCCCGAAGTCCGACTGTCCCATGGAAAAGGAGGGAGAAGATTCCCTTTTTTTCCGCCCCTTCCCTCTCTCGACAGACGGATAGGAGACAAGGTAGAAATGACAAGCAGGCGCAATGAAGTTTGGAGAATCGCGTGAGAGTTCTACGTAATGGAAAGAGACGCCTGGGATGATGAATTCATAACGCACCGTTGGGAGAAATGTCAGGGAAAAAAGAGGAATGAGAGGGGGAGAATGAGGACGATTCTGAAGACACGAATGGAAGATGGGAAAGAAAGGGGAAGGAAGGAAGGAAATGCAGTTCCTGTGTGGCTCCGAAAGAGGGAGAGGAGAGAGAGGGAGAGGGACGTGGATGACTGCCTTGCCTTGCATTTCATTGCATTGCATGGCATTGCATTGGAGCCCCCATTAGTCCAAGCTCCATTACTCCCTCTTTCCCATTGTGACCTGATCCCGTTATCTCTCTTCCAATGGGAAGGAAAGGGACACATCTACAACCGTACCATAACTGGCAACTGCATGTTGTGCAACATAGGGCAAGGGGTTCGCATGCATCTAGCGACAGACAGATTTACTCTCTTCGTCCGCATCGTATGATGCAAATCTGATTCCCTGATATGAACTCTATGCGGATTGGCCTACGGCTCGCGTGCCTGGAATAAAGGACACGATATTCCGACATATTCAGTGGAAATCGATGGGATCGACGTTTTTTCGGGGGGGGGGGGGGAGCCAGGTGCATGACAGCAGAGGCGAGTATGCGCAAGAAATGAGAAGGACTCCTTCCTTCCTTCCTTCCTTCATCTCGAAAATGTTGTGCTTAGAGGAGATAGGATAGATAGAGAGAAAACATTCCGATGTCTTTCTCCGCTCCCCCTTATGCACACTGCAAGAGAGAGGGGGAGAAGAAAAAAAGACAGTCGATCTCGTCAAAAGCGGCTTGGCTTCCCTCCACTTGCCAAGAATGTGCATTCACATTCACACACGTTCGTAGCCAAGGAGGTTCGTCATCCTTCCTAATGCCAGGTCACGCCAAACAAAGTTTGACAGTAGTAGCACCAGATCGTTCGCTAGTGAATGCTCAGGAACTAATGGCCTACATGTACGGTCGATGATGACGGCCATTAGAATTCAATGGCGCGAAACGACGATCACCATGATATGGCGTAAGAGGGTTGGGTCGAGAAATGCATCCTGAAACGAGGAAAAAAAAATCCTGCAGATGTGAAGCACCTCGAGGTGGATATGAATAGGTTGACTGAGCGTGCGCGGGTACGTTTTGCGTGTGCTTTTGTGCGCGTATGCGTTATGCGTTACGTGTAGGCGCAAGTCCGACCTGTCAGTAAATATTTTCTGGAGGAAACGAAGAGAAGATGAATTATTCCTTTAAGGAACGAAAATTACAAAGAGCCGAAACCCAACGAACTCTTCTTGCTTCACTCTATTAGTAGAAGCGTCATTTTGATTTTTTTACTTGCACAGGAGAGTAAAACAAACTTTATGTGATGCAGTCGATCTCAAAATGTTTTGTCCGAAAGTACAAGTTTTTACGTTTAGCATGCATACACTTCTGCAACGAAAGAAACGAAACAAAAGAATTAATATTTAGTAGGCTTTGCGGAAGGGCTTAGGGCCTCGCATCATTCCCGGTTGTGCACCACTCAACTGCATATATGCATGGAACTTAAACCCGCGATACGCTTTATGGTGGAAGCCAAGCGGCAACAGAAATTCACGATATGAATGTCCTTCCTAGGCAATGCTCTATTTTCGTAGCGGAAAGCGTATTGATAAGGTGACGAACACGAATTGTCAGAGCCTAGCTGGGATGCTCTCCAACAGGGGCAGAACTGAAACGGGGCATCGGCGACCTCAAGGTTTGCAGCCTTTTGTCTGTCAGCAATGGAATGAAGGAAGGGGGAAGGCTCCACTTTCACATTCTCTTGAATGTGAAAGCACGAATGATTCAATTACGTTAAAAAAAGGATGTGTTTGGGGAAGGGGGCAGAAGGGGCCCGGTGGCAACTACTTCCACTAGCTTGTGCCCTAGATGATGTGGTGCGACAATCATATGCAATCCTTCATTGTTAAGGATGGAGTTTTTCCTTCCTTGCTTACGGATGAGAGGCTCCAGGACAGTCAAGAACAGATAAGAGTATGCTCAGATATGTTTGCCATGGATAATCTTTTGATGCAGCAGGTTGTATCGCGGAAACATGACAACGCCGTTCCGTTGCGCACGTGGTTATTGAGCATCAATATAATCCGATAAGTTCACAGGATATCCCTTATCCTGGAGGCGAAGGGCATAGGTTCTTGAAAATGTGGCTCATGTATGCTGCGTTCTCGCCCTTCACCGCCTTCACCCTGTCGTGCGAGGACCCATCAAAAAGTTCCAGGAATGCACACTGTATTGTTAACTTATTCAACGAATTCAGGATTTCGTGTGATCGCCTTTAAAATGCTCTCCTTGACTCTCCATACACTTCTCCCAACGTTTGTAGAGAGACCTGAAGACCTCCTGTAATCCATTCGCGGCCTCCGCGAAATCGTTTGAGCCATTCGCCACACGAGATTTGCAAAAGGCATCTTGTTCATAGGCTACTGTTTTAACTACTGCCAAGCTCCTGTGGCAGATTTTCCAGCCTTGGAGTAACATTTGATAACCGCACGTTGCTCTAGTTGTAACAATGTAGCAAATGACAAGGATTCAACGCAGTGTGTGCTTTGAAAACATGAGGGTCGCTAAGGCAACGCCATTTCTCGCCGAGCTTGTGAAGCTCGCTTCCCAAGGTCATGTTCTTATATTAGCAACCACAAGCCCATTACCATTATTACCATTTAGAATCATGAGAGTTGGTCCTGGAACTTTTTGATGGGTCCTAGTATGTGCAATTATGTCGTGGCAAAGTCATCTTCTACAGCCGCAACTGGACCACAGAACAGAGGAAGATGAAGGCCGAAAATCCAATGTTCTTGTTCTACATGTCATACGCATCCCGTGCGCCTCGTCTCCAAGCGATGGGATATCCAGTGAATCCGTCAGTGTATCGCACCACCCTCGAATAGAAAGTCTAACATGTTCTAAAGTGGCTTGCCACAAGGAAAAATACTGTGTATCAGAATTATGTAATCATAGCCGTTACGGCGGTAATGGTCTTATATGTTCGACATTTGGCCCATGGACATCTATGCGCAGCTGCATATGCTCCTGCTCCTTCCGACGGATGGTCTGTAGCGTCACCGCATCGATGTCGCTAAACGCCTTGCAGATATAATCTTGCAGGTCCAATATATCAGTGGGTTGTGCGAATAAATCTTTGACTTTTTCATTGCCCCCGATTTCGAAACCCATTGGCTTGAGGTCTGGAGTGCGTTGAAATCCCTCTACCGTACCTTGTTAACCAATTCAGGGCTGTGCGAAGTTCTCATCCAGTCAGGCCAGACAGCGACGACGCACCGCCATACTTCGTCTAATCCTTTTCATGCAAAAGGTCCAAGTTTAATTATGTTATTTCTTAGGTCATGTGCAAAAGAAATTGATACGTCAAAACGATACACGTTGATAGATATTCACTTTTGGATGCATTATTTCCATGGGGAAAATGCGTCCAAATTCGAATTTCCATGCATTCTTTCACCGGCAGACCTCGCCAGATCGCACGAAAGACGTCTAACACTAAGACGCGTCGAGAGCCGTTTCGAAAAGGTGGAATGGGGGAAGGAAGCATCGTCTGCACGCATTTCAGCTTCCCTCGGCAACCTCAAGGAATGAAGGGCACCTTTACACATCCGCATGGCGATGCATTGTCGAAAGATTTACACGCAAGTTCGTTGCCTCCGAGCCCAGTCACCTCACTCTCAACCCATGATCGTTAGTGGACTGTGCGTGTCTCAGGGATAGTCAAGTGATCGCCTGTGCCTCCGTTTTTTTAAAGCCCCTATTCCTTTGTTTTATGCAAACTGTCTACAACGGTGCACACTCCGCACACACGCCGGCCACGTTGCGTGGCAACTAGGCTCAGGTGTGTGGCACGCAAGAAGGGGAAAATGGGGGTTGGGAAAGTTAAGTAAAGGTTGAGAGATAGAGGCACATCGCTCACTTTCCAAAGCCATCTGTCTAAGAAGGATGTACGATATGGGAACGTTGGGATTTCCAGGAGATCGAGCGATTCCCGTCAGGGTGTGTTTACACATGTGAGTGTACTCGCATGAAAATTGCTTGGGATCCTCGATGGAAGACCAAATGATATATCCATGAGAGTTCTCCCAAGAAATTGACTTCTCCACTTTCATGCGCGTATACAAGAAACTAGGTGGCGTGTTCTCGCAGGCGACATTCATAGCACACGAATATAGCACACGAGTATAAGCACATGGGTAAAGCTGCACGTTGAACACTCTACACATGAGAATTTGTGAAAGAACCCAGAGTGAGAGAAATCACGAGGTGATCGTGAACAATACCGCAAACTAAAGAATCGAGATGCTATTCCATCTCGCAAGAGTCATCTGTAATGTAAAATGTCACATAGGATAAAAGTCCTGACCAGATGAGGTGGTTTCTTGTTCCATTACGAGCACTTCATATGATGAGCACCTTTTACCCATGTACCATTCGGCTTGGGTGTGGCTAGTCCTATGATGGGATGGTTCTGAACGTAATCCCCCAAGGTATCCATTAACCTTTCCCAGACCGTGTGAAAAAAACACCATCTGTAGGCCATGTGGGAAATTTCTCTTGGCACTACTTGCATCACTGGCATCATTATTCAATCGCATTTCCGGCATTGCCGAGTGTCAATTGATACTTGCTTTGCTCTCTCGGGTGACCAGCCTTCGCCGGAGCTTTAAGCATTTCATTACAAAAATCTTGCATTGAGCCCTAAAGTGAACTATACGGCCTGATGGAAAAAAAAAACCAAATCAAATTGATCCAGTGAGGTGAATTCTACTGTCTTGCTCTTGTCAACCTGGATTCAAGGATCTGGAATCAGTGAGCGAACCATGAAGGGCAGATTCTAACTGCATGTACTGGAGGCATTACAAATGCAACCATTCCTGGCATGCCATATGCATCTAAAACTGTCATGCACCACACGGAGGAAATACTTTGATGCGGATGAAATGCACCAAGTTGATGTACTGAAAATTCTCAGTGTACTAAATAGGCATATAGGAACCTCTGAGACTGAGACTGAAACTGAAACTGTTTTGGCTCATGGATCTTCATGATGCTCGGCTCAGCATTGGCAGATAGGATGGATGGCGAGAGAATGGGGCAAAGGATGGGGGTTGGAGACTGATTTTAATCCTTTCATGCCCAATTATCTTCTGGGCACGGGAAAACGTTCCACGTAGTTTTGAAATTCATCAAGGCTTTGGAAACATTTACTCGCTTAAAAAAAAATTATTTTAAATCAATTTCATAAATAGAGAAAATGCAATGTCAATTTGTCATGTCATTGAAATGACTCGTCATGTAAATTTTAGAAGTTACTTAAATAATGAAATTAAATAAAACCATGAAACTTCATTAGTTGTGTTTCTCGTTACTTCTATGCCACTTTTCACAGTTTAACTTGTAATTATCTATAATAAAAAAAATAGCCTGGGAAAGATTTTCCGAAGATTGCTCTCTTCAAATTTTCCAAAACCTCCCTTTGTTCTGCTCTAGATGTGATCAAGAACACAACTGATGCTTTCTAAACAAATTACCATACAGCTTACACAGCTGTGGTTACGCTGACAGCCGTCATTCAAGAAGAGTTCATACGCGAGGCTAGGAAAATTCTTCAAGTTGGTGGTTCCAAATGAAACCTTTCGGTACAACAGGGTTAAATTATTATTCAATGATGCAAACAGTAACGAGGGCGAAGAAACAAACGAAGCAAAACAAACAAAGTTGGGAAGAAGGGTTATTTCGGATTCCAAAGCAAAGGCGCGATTATGGGTCTATCCGATCCCATCCTAACCTTGATATATTTGGATCTTGGCATGACATTTTCACAAATGTATTATTTTTAATCGTTTCCTATACAAAGCATAATGATGCCTTCAGATTTTTCTTCAGAAGAGACTGGCTTTCAGTATATCAGTATACACACAACGTCCATACAGACCCTGTGCCTTTATCGACCCGGACTTTAATTTTTGCTGGAAAAGGTAAGCCTAACATTCTAGACTGCAATAAGGAAAAAAATTCATGGATAGGTCTACTATTCATAGGTGGCGTTACGATAACAAATTGAGCACTCTCGTGGTCTCTAGTGGTCTTGCGGAGTGCTCTTCTTGGTCACGAAAAATTCATCCATTTCTCATCTCAAACGACCCTCTTGATAATGGCTTGCGTGAAAGAAATCATTGGCACCAGCTCCCCTGGTTTTACGAACCTCCTATCTAGCAGACTCTTGGAAGCTTCACCTTTTACCAACCAGGATCCACCCCCTGTTCTGGCTCCTTCAAGGAATTGCGACCAGTTACGTGAGATTTTATCCTTTTTCGTTTGCATTTACATGACATTTTGTGTTCAAACTTACCCCAAAAGCCTATTCAAATTTACTTCAGCAAAAGAAAAGCATGGAGATTACGAAACACGTAAAGGAGAAGCAAGAAGGATGGAAATAATTAGTTGGACATCATATGACAAGGAGTGCCATCTTTTACCTTCAGTAGCCTCATGCTACTGAAAGTTAAACAGAATTCAGAAAGGTATCTATATTAGTTTATATTCTCCTATTGGACTTTTTGCATATGCTAAAGATATATGCCATATTAGAGAGGAAAATGCCTCACTTTTTAAAGTAATACTTGGAATTGAGTCTCTATGGAACAATCTCTAGTTTGGGTATTTCCCAGTACCTAATTCCTATTTGGCTGAAATTATTCGCACATTTTATAATTACCTCTACATTTTTTATGTTAAGATTCCAAACAAGCTTGGCCAACAAAAAAAATTAAGATACCTATGTTCCACTCAAAATACGGCTTAGTTGAGAAAAAGGAAAAAGCAGGGTAAGGGGGACAGCCATTTTGCGGGCGGAATCATGAGATAGGCCTTGTGCTGAGAAAATTAGCCATCATTTTAGAGAATTTTCTGAAAACGCGTAGCAGCGATTAGTGCTTCCTATAGCCCTTTTTCTATATAGCTAGCACCTATCTCATGCAACTTCAAGTGAGCATTCCCTTTCTGATCAGAATCGGAGTGCAACGGTTGGGAATTTTGCTTACCATTCATACTTCCGAAGCTTAGGGACCTGTTTCTCGCCTAAGCTAAATTCTAAATCTAAATCTAAACTTAATCTAAAACTGGCCAGAAGGCATCGTAAAAAGCAGCCAAGGGAGTCTGCTTTTCCTCACCTTATGGCCGAATTTTCCTTTAGATTAGATTAAGTTTAGCAGAGGCAAGGAACAGGCACCAAGGCATGGGGCAGCAGAAAGATGCGATACGATGCCATCAAGCACAAGATGCTCTGGGTTCAGGAATGCGCCTTCATTCTGGAGTCCAAGTATAACCCTCCCCCACCCTAGATCCTAGTAACCTCCAACCTTGGGAGTCTCATTTTGGCCCTGGTGGTTACTCCGAAGATATGCTACATTAATATGTGAATCATCTAGAAAGCGAGCACGCAAAGCAAGGAGAAAAAAAAAGAAAAAGAAAGAGAAGGAACTTACGCAAGGAGTTGGATCGACGTATGATATTTTCGAGGAAGGTGTTTTGAGGGGCAACCAGGCCCCGTCTTCCCGTTGGCATCTTTTCTTCAGCTGCCGACGGCTTCTTCACTCAATGGGAATGATAAAATGAATAAACGAATGACTTAAGAAAGGAATTCACACTGCACAGTACGTGCACTGAAGGGACTCAGCCTTCTTGACCACTCTTCATGCCAACAACGAGCCCATTTGAAGGCACTGCACCTAGTAAGACGGGAAGAAAGGAGGGGGAATTGGAACATCAGCGTGGGACTCTTGCTTGTCAAGATTTAGCCTACACGTGCTAGAAGGCTAAGCCTAAAGAGGATGTCATGCAAAGGAGGCAAATTGGATTCTCAACTACGGGAGTCTGCTTTTCCCCTGTCAATATCCATACGAGCTTTTCAGAACTCATTTTTCTAAAATAACGCTCTGAAGTGAGTTCACAAAACTTCCGCATGAATTCCCACGCATAGATTCGGAATGTTTCTGCGTGAAGTGATGCAGGGATTCGGGTCACTTCCGACGCCCTTGAAACCTTATATATAGGTGATTGACGAAAATCTCGACACAGAATACTGTCCTTGGTGAGACAGACATGTCTCACTCTTCTGACAAATGAACGCAGACACCAAATGCAATCTCTAATGTCTTCTGGGACATGATATACTGACAGGAGTAGTGGACAGTGGAGGAGCTGAAAAGGCAGAGATTCACCGTCTTCATCCATCGCGAAAATCACGTCATATATCGAGGGGAAACGGCGATAAAGATAATGAAGATTACCCGGATGGGCCGGGTATCATCAGCGGCCAAGGTCAATTAAGAGAAGTGCATGAGAGGGACAAGGGAACAAAAAGCCTCAAGGCCGGACATGTAAAAGGATGGAAAAGGAAAAGGAAGTGTTCGTCTCTCCCTCGAGTCCGGTGGCGATGATGTGCTCCAAGGGAATTGCTCCCATTCTTCTCCCACACCCAAGAGGGACGAACAAGAACAGGAGAGAAGAAAAAAGGTCTTTCTCCGATCTAGGTTTTCCCTGGACTTGTTTCTTCCAATGTGACTCATCAGTCACCTTCTCCTCTGCACTTTCCTCTTTGATACGTACAGGAAACCATACGGTCTCTCCAAATGTGATGACTGGGCCATTTACGTTAGGGAAAGCTATGAATAATGGAAAGCTAATCCGTGGAGTGATTCCGGGAATATTCCCCGAAAATGGTCCCTGATGAGAGCCCGTTTGAATAATCCAGGATAATAGAATGCGACCCAGACTGATAGACTTGGGCATGCAAGGTTATATAGCACCACGTCAGGGAAGTAGGGCACCGAAAGGAAGGTTTGGCCGTACGCCCATGAACCCTGAAGAAAGGAATATCTTCAAAATCTTCCAAGGGAAGCATCGGGGGATCCAGGCGTCGCATGAAATTGAGGAGGTGAAATGTATGTGGGGACAGGGTGGAAGAAGAAGAGGACACGGACACGGTCTATTCTTGCATGGATCTGGAAGCCCGCCAACACTAGGCACCCAGTACAGAATCCCATTTCATCCCACGTCACTCCACTAAGGAAACGCCAAAAAACACATAGGCCTCTAATATATGATTTCATAAGATGGCATCTCTGGGAGATTTCTTCATAAATCTATCGATTCAAATCTAAACTGGAGCCAGGAGGATGGATTAATATGAGCCTGGAGGGGATGGACATAATGACATCGGTGCTCAAGCGAGTGATTCATGAATATTCAGGAATGTCTCATCTCTGGTCCTTGCAAGTTCCCTTCTGCATTCGGTGGCACATCCTATCCCTGTGAGAGGGAATCAGATTCCCAGGGACAAAGTTGTGCCGTATATTTTAATTCCCCCCCCGGGAGGTGCAGAGCCTTGAGTAGAGTCTAGACTCTAGACTCTAGAGTCTAGAGGGTCATTGGAATGGGGACCCAGGCACGCCCTCCCTCCAAGATCCCATTCCAGGAGATTGATTGAAATGGCTCGCACTTTTCTCGGGGGAATGAAAACTATCTTCCGTCTTCCCTCCTCTAATAAGTTTCGCATCGTGCCAGGAACACACATTGATTGGATCTGCCTATTTCAAATTTTGCGGTCCTGGACAAAATGCACGAAGGAAATACGGAACGAAAAAAAGAGGAGGAGAGAAGATTGATGCATCCACGTCTCAAGACGAAGGGCTTCTGATGGATGAACCATGCTTTATCCAGGCCCACTTTTCCCCTTCCCTCGTCTAATACGTGTACGGATGTCCCCCCGGTTTATTTATAGAAGTCGAGATATCAAAGGACATCACCTGGTCCTTAACGATCCCGTCGCTCCACGTGTGCTAGTCTTCATTATGTCAGAGGAGAAAGGAATTTCCAAGATGATGAGCCCTAATTATGGCGCCTTGCCCTTCATATCACGGCATCACACATCGCGCCATTATTATCTCGAGCCTTACCTCAAATTCTCCCTCCATCGCTGAATTACCCCCCATCGAATGGAGTCTGTCAACAACTTTAGCATGAAAGGCTGCAGCGGTTGCAGGACGGAGACAAAGGGAGAAAATTCTTGAATTATCCAGTCAGGAGAATAAAATGCAGATATGCCAGATAAACCCACAACTGATGATGACAGCCTTGGACAAACGGCCTGATCGATACTAAGAACTTCCCCCGTCTGTTCTACTGATGTACACCAGCACAAAGAGAGTGGAACATACATAAGAAAAAATAAAAGGAAACTCGCTGGTGCACATGAATGCACAGCCCAGCAGTTCTTTATCTTTCGTGTTCTTTCACTTGGCTTGGGTGTATTTGGCAAAGGGATGGGAAGGGAATCCAAGGGAGATAATTCGGCCGGCATTGACAAGCCCCAGAATGTGAAGACTTTCTATATATGCACTCCTTCTGGGTCACAACGTGCGCCACGTGGAAATGACGCGACAGAGACCTCATAAAAATCCATTATTTCCTCCATCGCAGGGCATGACACCCATGACACACGCTCATGTTCACGGGATTTAAATGTGATGGGAGGCTAAGGGAATTCCTCATGCCTTGGAAAATGAAGACAGAAGGAGAGAGAGGGGATGAAGGGGGAACCAGCGCACAATATGGAAAGAAGGGGGAAGGAGACGATCTTCCATCAATTACTTTGGCGGCAATTATATCGTGATGTCGTGCATGGGGAGATCTTTCCATCTCCATTTTGCCTGATGTCCCCAGAGGTTCTTCCGTGCATCTCGCCAACCCAGAAAGGACTCATACGATATACCCAGTGCCACTTCACGTGAATGACCTTTCTCATCACAGAATTTGGGCTTTTGCAAGGCTCTCCAAGGCAAGCGAGCTTCCTGATTTGGTCGATATATTTCACTGAGAGGGAAACTACGCCGTTTGGAAATTGCGTCCTGTGCCCAAGGCCCGGGGTGTCTGCATCACGAGAATGCGAAAGGCTAGATCTTTCGGCCTGTTGACAGGTCGATTGTCCACTTGGGAACACCCGCTCGGCTCTCTTTTGTGCAAGATGAGGCAGGAGTAAATGAATGGAAGAAGATAAGAGCAAGGACACAATATTCAGGTCGGAAGAGAAACAAACATCGGGGTTTGGCCCCAAGCCAAAGAGAATCTTGACCCTGATTGAGAATAGCCACCCACTTTAGGCCTATACAGGGTCCTTTCTGCATCTGGTGCCAGTGCAAATGATCCGTCTTACCAAAAGGGATAGAGCTCCAAGAGGGGAAAATACGCGAGCACGAAATATTATGGCTCTTGTACTTCCCTCACACCAGCTGCCACCCTTCACTTCTTCCTCCGACTCCATTCCCAAAGCGACCGTAGGCCTTCTGGTCATTCCTTATTTCTTCTAGTCTTTTCTTTTGTAATGAGATCACTAGAATGACCAGATCGGACCTGCTCCTCGTCAATGTCTCGTGGGGAGTGGATGAGCACGTGGCAGCCTGAGGAGCAACGCAAGACTTCGTCAGAGGGAAGGAAATCGATCCTCATGACTATTCTCGGTTTTTCTTTCATGGAGTTCGCATTCAAGTGGCACGCACAAAAGTAGGGGATCTCCAAATAGTCACCTTTGTAAAATAATTACGGAGTCAAATGAAAGCCTTTCGTACTCATATAAAAACAAGTCTAATTCATTCTGAGAACTTGGTAGGGTTTCTCTAATTACCATCGCGAGAAAAAAATACTCGCTCCTTTCTTATTATATAACACTGAAGTTTAATTAATTCCTGTTCTCAACTGGGATTAGTTGCGAAAAACGATGCGTGCAACTGGAGAGCAACGCTTGAAATCTCAGTTTCCATTCACTCTCGTTTTACTGCTGTGTGATGAAAGTGGAACTAAGCTTCTTTTAAAACAAAAATCGATGGAAACCCTCACCAGTCAGACGGAGCTTAATGGAAATGCAGGCTAGGAGAAAGGCTATTGAGGCACGAAATCATTAACAACTGAGTTCTTTTATTAGACCGATAACTTGAGGTAGAGAAACATACATATATATAATTTATTTTGGAACGATATTCATAAAATGGAGCTAAGGGAGAATCCAGAGGCAAAACTCACAGTTTTGTCCCGACGAGGACGTCCCGGAGGCGTGACACTCCGTCGAAGACGCCAAATCTTGGGAACTCTCAGATATCGCGTTTGAACGGGAAACGATGGAAAATAGAAGGAAGATACGAGATTCATGTTGAACGCTTGGCGGAAGGCATGTAGCGATGCCTCCGCTACTACAGCCTTACTATCGCATGCAAGCGCGGAGAGAGAGACTCCGACCTCACTTTCCACCCACCCGTCTTTACCTTTGAGCTTGTCAGTGCGCATGCGTGGTTTCTTTCACCTCGTCGCTGCTGCGCAACCCTGCTTCACTCCTGCCTTCACCTGTCGATACTGAAATTCTTCTCCTTCCCCCTCGACTACACAAGCTCGTGAAATATGCGACGGAGAATGGAAGCTCATTCCACTGTTTCTCCAACGGCAGAACTCTTTTGACAGGCAGACGTCGACAATCATCAAGCTGAGGATTTTAAAATGTCAAGTTTGATGAATTTCATGCAATTGCATGCTGCAGCACTTGAATTGAATAGAGGGCTTCTTTCGTATGGATTCAGCCCCTTCAGAAAAGGCAATATGAGAAGAAAGGGTCAAATGATAAAGCTAGAACAGAAAAA